TCGTGAAGCAACGCGAGAAAATCAAGGAAAATGTGCTTATCATGTCTTCCTCTTGTGATCTTCATTATTCCCTCAGTATTCCTTAAAATTATTTCAAGCTTACCTGCAATAAATCCCCAGCATTACGATGCAGGGCACGTAAAAAGATATAGAAGAGGAGACTATCGCGTAGGTGAGTGTGAGGTCTAAGGCGCACATAGGATGTTCCTGAAAGATAAAACGAAATCGAAGAGTAGGCGCGTTTGTTTGAAGGATCATTTTTTTTTTTTTTTTTTCTTTCGTATATCACACCAGACATATCAAATTTCGAACGAGCAAAGAGTGAATTATTAGAACGTCCCATCTTTTTCAATATCTATTGAAAATTGGCTTTCTGCTCGATTTCGATTAGCTATATTATGTAGGTCACTGCATAAATTCTTTTTGCCTCCTCGTTCATATAAGTAAGCTATCAATGCTAGAATAAATATAATATTGCTATAAGTAAATAATAGTACTATATATAATAAATCGATAATAAACGCTTCTAGAACGTACAGAAGATAGAAATAAGATATTTTTATTAGTTTCCCAATAATCAGGTCTTTTCTCTGACAAATTCGGTATCGATGGATTCTCATTCTCTCAAGTATCGCAAAACAGTCTAGGAAAGATTAGAAATAATCGAATGAATTTAAGATGGTCAAAAATACAGCAGGCACTTTTTTTTTCTCAATATGAAGAATTCTTATAAAAGAGACGCGATACAACATTTATTGCTAACAAAATTATAATATTCCCGAGATTAAGATTGAAATTGAGAAGTTAGAAATTGCATGCTGCAGAAAGCAATGTATAGCATTTGAAGCATCGGTGTATTTTATTCTTTACTGGCCTCCTTGCCTCCTTGTCGTGTTATTATAGATTGACGTTGTAAATCGAACTTATAAAAGATATAGCCTGGTGTAGGCGGGAAATGCATAGCGATATTTATCGTACATACTTCTTTACCATCGTCGTAAATTACGGGCTCATCCGCTCGGTGAAGGCCTAGGCTGATCGGCACGAAGGATATGAGTCCTGCGAGCAACCATACGATAGCGATCCCAGCAACCGCGACTCTCCTTGTCACCCAACGGCCGTATCTGATCGCGAAACGATACCAAAAGAAAGAAACATTTACTCGAACGACGAGCTGAACAGAGAATAAACGGAATAAGGGAGTGGAATATTTACCTGAGCGGGTCCTTTATGTGGATGTAACGATCGAGCGAGATTGCGCAAAGATTCAGAATAGAGGCAGTGCTGCACATAACGTCAAAAGCGATCCAGGTGTCGCAGAATCGCGGTCCAAACACCCAATAGCCAAGAAGATCGTTCACCCCGGCGAATGTCATAACCAGACAACCGACGAACAGGTCGGCTATAGCGAGGGAGGCCAGGAATAAATTCCCTATCCTCCGTAAACCGCGGTCCGTGTAAATTGCCACGCAGACTAAAATGTTGCCCGCGACGGATAAAAATATCAAGATCAGGAAGAGAAATCCTGAAAGAATCGGTCGAACAAACTGGGCTAGTGGAGAATCGATTTGAGTGTTTGCTCAGAAAGAAAAAAAAAAAAAAAAAA